GTATTGCGATGGGAAAGTCTGCTTTTAGGGACCTCTCCAAAGTACTGAAGAGCAGTGGTGTCTCTCTTGAGACTAAGGTGTGTCTGATACAGGCCATGGTCTTTGCTGTCACTTGTTATGCATCAGAGAGTTGGACAGTGACAAAGGAGAATAGGAGGAGAATTGATGCCTTTGAGCTGTGGTGCTGGAGAAGAGTATTGAATGTACCATGGACCTCTAGGAAAACAGATTCATCCTGGAAAGGGTTAAACCGGGTGGCTCCCTAGAGGCAAGTATTCTGAGGCTCTGTCTAACATACTTTGGACATGTTGTAAGGAGGGACCGGTCCTTGGAGAGAAACATCATGCTTGATAGAGTGGAGGGGAACATAAACCTGATCAAAACAGCAAAATTAAGGAAAAGGAAGGAATAACGTAAGCTGCTTCTTACGGCCACCTGGTCAGAACTGACTGAGACTGTCAGAGGCCTTAAATCAGATGAAAATGCTCATCTTTCTCCCTCAGAGTCAATGATTGATTTCCGACTGCCAGAGAGGTGCCGCCTTTGGGACCCAACTCTCTAAGGACCACATCAACAGCGCTCAATCAGGGACAACAGGCATAGCATGCAGTCCCTGTCCATATAGGAGAAAAGAGTATGATGAAGGCTAGAGGGTAAAATAAGTCCTCAGCAGGTGTGGCTTGAACAGAGGAAACAAACACGACTACTCCTGAAAAGAAAGAGTGGGTCAATGAAAGGCCAGCATTAATTACTTTAATAGAGAAAGACTTTAAGTTTGTTCACAGTTTCTCTCTGTACTGGAGGTAGTGGCCAATGCAAATACATGACAGAAAGAAACTAGAGGTACAAGAATCTAAAATATTCCTTTGTTGTTGATGTTGTTATGTGCCGTTACGTTCCTACGTTCCTCCCCTCCCTTTTTTTAACTGTAAAAAACATGTATGAGGGGAGCTCTGGTGGCCTAGTGGCAAGGAGCTGCAACTACAATCCCAGAGTCGCACGGTTCGAATCCACCAGATGCTCTGCCGCAGAAGGAAGGACAATCTCCTCCTGTACCAGTCAGATCTGATTTGACGGTACACTCACACCAAAATAATAAAAAAATTAAAAAAAAACCATGTATGGGGATAAAAGGGGGTAGGGGTTGGGAGACGAAGGGTGAGGATGGGCAGGGATGAAATCACAGAGCTACACAATTTGGTGGGTTGAGGGAATGGGTGAGGGAAATGAGAAAGATCTAGTGGGGACCAGAAAAGATAAGGAAATGGTGAGCATAGTCCAGTGATGATTTTTTTTTTAATTTTTATTGGGGAAAAAACAAATTGGGGGTACAAAGAGGTGAGGGTTGGGGGCAGAAGGATGAGGATGGGCAGGGATGCAGTTGCAGAGCTGCAGAAATTGGTTGGTGGGGGGAGCAGGTGAAGGAAATGAAAGTGATCCAGTGGGGACCAGATGCTACAGGAAAATGACAA